TTCCTCAAAATTTTTCCTCAAAAATTCCTCAAGTCCTCAACCCGCCGTTCCTCAAAAAATATTCTATCTGCTCTGGTACTCGTAGCAATTCCACCCCGCGCCCGATCAGAAACTATGGGTACCCGATGAGACAATGCCAGGGAGAACGATGAAGTTGCCCCCCCCCCTCCCGGCGGACCGGCAGCCGGATGTTGCGCGCTTGTATCTTTCACAGGCTGAAGCAATGAGTGCCAACCCTAAAGGCCACATCAGCTTTAACATGACAATTTCCTGTGCCAGGATGGATGTCGCCAGACATGTCATACAGCAGCTGCCGCTCAACTTGGACCGTGGATCGAGAGACCACGCACTGTCAATACACTACTAAACTCGAGTGTTAGATTGAATAGATCAGGGCTATGTTATTGGACGAAATCCTAAAGCTTTCAGCTTGCGCTGCTGCGCACTGTGTCAAGCTCTGTTGTCAGCTTCAACCAATGCTTCCAGCGCAGTTCGCCGCATGATACTAAACCAAGCTCTTGATGACGCATTGCGACGTTCAGCCTTGATGAAGAAGCCCTTATTGCATGGAGGGCATGGTCTCACAGCTGGCGATTTATTGTTGCCTCGCTTTGTGCCGCTGCGAGTCATGATTGTGACCACGCATCTGCGCTCCCAAGATGCTGAAGACCATGATCACATGCACTGCGCATCGTAGTCGGTAAGCCGGAGCACATGTAGAAAGACGGCTTAGATTCTTTTTCGCCTGCCTCATCTGGTCCCGGTGATGTCAGACACCTGAAGATGAGAAACTCCGAGCAAATGTTCAACAGGAAGAGGACTCCCTACGAGGGACCTCCCATCCATTCTGCTGCTGTCGACGAAGTACAAGATCTAGCCCAGTGACTTGGGCGAAGCTAGTAAGCAGCGAGTATGGGAGCTGTATGTGCTGCCGTCTACAAGTCTTGACTGATAAAAAGTACTTGAAGGAGCTCAGACATCCGCGGGCAGGCATTCGAGGCAGTTCAACTGAACACTACACACTGGGTATCGCGGTGTTTGATGCGTGTCCTGCGCAGAAATCAGGCTGGAACTTGCAGTCTTTTTCGTGGTCATGAAGAAGCCCTATGAGGAGCAATGCGATGTCAGCTTGACAGCAGACCTATGGGACCGAAACTTCTCACCTCTCGAATCATACGTCGCTACAGGTCGCGAACCTAGGGACAACATTCAGGAAGAGACGGAAGAAAGAACGAGGAACAGCCAGCCAGGGGTCTGAACTCCGTGGAGTGGTCACACACAGACTTGCATGGCTTTAGTGCTTGAGTCCCTGCACGACGTCTTGCAGAGTCTCTGGGCAGCTTTTGTGGCCTTCCAAGCCTGCTCACTTGCGGTCGCGGTCTCCTCGGGTCCCCAGCATACTCTTCAACAGATTTTCACCGCTGAGTCGGGAGCTATGCTTAAGGCACGTGAAGCCAAAACAGGCAGAAATCCAGCCCACGCCAGGAGCTCTTTCTCACGGGTGACACTTCGCAGACGGTGTCGCGAGCCGTCGAGTTTCGTTTCTGTGATCTGCAGTCTCTTGGCTAGCCGTTGAAGCTTTTCGTTGTCGGCAGCTCCAGCTTGCGCTGATGGAGTCTCAAGAGCCTTGGTAAGGTCCCTTTTCCATCATTTCAATCGAAGTGAGCCGCTTGGGCATCCAGAGTCGTAATGAGAGTCCAGCTTGCCGGCATACACCCAAAGCCAGTGCTTCTGCAATCCAGCAGATCAGGGGAAGTCCTAACCAGCCCCGGAGGAAAGTACCAGAGTTGGATCAGCTGCTGATCAACTTCCGCAGCCACCAGAAGCCACCTGGCATATCCTCTTGTCGGAGACGTCTCTGGCTCCAGAGGCTCCAGAGGAGTGCTGGGCCCTACATGAGCCCTTGCAGCGGACAAAGCTTTTGGCAAAGGATCCTCGCGCTTTCCCACCGTGGCGTCGTGCAACCATTGGAACTGGCATTCCCGCAGCTTGCTGCATCACTATCATTATCTTGTGTCGTATCCGGCTGTACTTGTAGCTGCTGGCTTGGTTCCATCTGCTGCATCTCGGTGGATGGGTCGGACTCGGCCAGGCATGCCATCGATAAGCTGGCCGCCGACACGGGCCACCGTGCAGCTTGTCCGGAGTCGTAGAAAGAGTCTGTGTCTCAGACGTCCAATGATGCAGCTTCTTCATTGGTGCCTCTTTCGGCAATGCAATCGAAGCCTGATTTCGCGTCATTCCATACACATGTACCGTGCCACTACTTGGGATACACAGGCGGTGATGGCAGAGCATGGTTCAGCCAGTTTTGTCACAATTCGGAGTTCGGACTTGCCAGTGCTACTCGTGGCCCTACCCTGGAACGTCTCGATTACCGAAGGTTCGATTCGAGCTCCATCCTAATGCAGTGGCCCCGTTCAATTTGACTTTCCCAGGATGGTGTGCTGCCGGTCATCGTCAAGGACGTGGCCCTGGAGGATGCGCGCTGCACAAGAAAGTACTCGTAGCATGCAGGCCTATGGAACTGATTCTCTTTGTCTGGCTGCACTTCTGCAATCTATTGACCTATTCAAGGTCATAGTTGCTGACAAGTTTCAGCTTTAGTGCTTGAACATGTTCCCCGTCAGTGGACCTGTCATGTGCAGAGTTTGTAGGTCTGGTGAGGGTTTGCTGTACCTAGTGTCCGTGTGGCATGTTGCCTGGTCGCAGCATGATTGACGCGTCAGCGAGTGAGTGAGTGCAGGAGAGATAGAGACAGAAGCCGCCAAGAAAACGTTGCCTATACTCTTACATAATCCTCGCTTGTGTACTCTATTCGGCATGTTCCCGTTCGGATGATATTGTAATTTATAATATACTGTACTGTAGCCTCAACCAGCGATCGGACAGTGTGGCATTCTTCACGGGCGAAGGTGACCGCCCCGTAGAATCCCCAGTCTTGCAGTTCGGCACGGCTCGAGGAATGGGAATGGGACTAACAACAGAAAGCGTACTCAGGGTCCCAATCCTTGGGGCATATGGGTACTTGGGTGGAAGAAATATTCAGGAATTGATAAGGGGACAATTCGTACGTGTTCAGGAATTGTAGCCATTGCCCTGACCATCAGGATCTGGCGCAGCACATGTTCAACCTGGACGCCTGCACCATGGATCATCCACAGAGGGGTCACTGTTTCTGTGCAACATTGACATTCGCGATAGAGTTGCCGACGTCAAGCTGCACCAATCGAGTTTGCAGCTTAGGCAGTGCAGGCATTGCCTTCGGAGCCAGCCAATGCATCCTCGCATGCGCCTTACCCTTCCCCTTTGTGGCACTTCTCTGTGAATGCCCTAATTGTACCTTCGGAGAACATGCTGTCGCAGTCTCTGTCTTCATTGAACCACGAGCCTTCCAATTAACTGGCGCGTCAAATCGTATTAGCTCATGTTTCTGGCCATTCCCCACACCTCTCATGCAGTCTTCAATCCGTGTCGCGGCAAATAGTCAACTTGCTGTGCGAGATCGTGTGAGGTTCGCAACGAGGCCTCCAGACTCTTGGCAGTGTGTGTCGAGTCGTGGGCAAAGCCTTTGGTTTGCGTACATGGCGTTTTTTTTTCAATTTCTGCCTGGAAGGAGTCTCAGTGTACTGACTTAGAGTACAGCAGCACTGCGGCGATAACACACACACACACACATATATATATATATTGTGTGTTTGCCAGTCGCGCCGGCTTATACTGTAGTTGAGCCATGATAATTTGCAAACAATACCATGGAAATGTGGAAATGGCAGTGTGCATCCGGCAATTGATGCTCTGAACTTCGCTCCACTGTCATGGCCACTGCCGAAGGAACGGCAGCACTGTTTGGACAGAATGCACCGAAGATTCGCAAGACAAGCATGCTCAAGGAAAGAAGCTGCCGCAGTCACTGTCCAATGCTCTCGTGCTCACGGTGGAGCAATCAAAAGGCCTCGAGTTCGACGCGCCTGGGCTACAAGTGGCTAGATGTAGTGGAGCAGGTTGTTGCATTGAGTTTGCAGCGTGTTTGGCAGTTTAGCAGATGAAAGCATCTGGGTCTAGTAGTAGATCACAGTTGCCGAAGTGTTTTCCTTCGTCTTGGTCGGACGAAGAGCACTACGAAGATCTTGCAGAGCCTCGCCGTCTTGTGCAACGGAAGGATATGCTCATGTTTGAGGACAGGTTCAGGTCCATGTTGCAGGTGCACACTGGGTGTATCTGTTTGCTTGCCACCTATGCCTCAGACGTCTTAGTGTTGGCACGCCCCTGTGACACTGTACTAAACAGCCCCAGTTACACGCTTTGCAGGAAGCGGTCCTGGCTTCAATTTAGCCACTGACTCACTCACTCGCTGACTGACTGACTGACTGACGGACTGACTGGCTGACATACTTGTTTGAATTACCCTGCTGGCTTGCTGACCCATGAACTTGCTCACTGATCTCCTTACTTGCCTCAACTTACTTACTCATTTGTGGTGGTATCTAACGACAATCACCGCACCGCATCTTGTCGAAAAAGATTGGTATCAACATGAAGTTCTCTGAATGTGAATGGTATCCACGCGCCTTTGCTAGATTTCAACATATGATTAATGCTTCCTAGACAGATCTAGACAGCACCGATTGCCATTCAAGGCCCAGCCGGCCCGGACCCATGTTGCTGCTTATACAGGACTGCATTTTGGTGAATTTCTTCACGGACTCAATGTACGAGGAGCCGCGGGACAGCATGCGTGTAGGAAGACTTGTTGTTTAACTGCCGACCGCTCAGCCTGAGGGGTTCAGTCCATTGAGGGCGGCAGTCGGCATTGGCTTGCGATTTGCAGATATTGCGATGCATCTTCTGTGCTGCACGTGCACGTCATGCCTGTGCTGCGGGCGACTACAGATTCCCAGGTGGCAGACGATGAAGATCTTTCTTCCAGACCTTTTGGAAGGGCAGTCGAAGGCGGCAATTCGTGCGGGGACTTGGGGCACCCATGGCCAAGAAGTCGGAGCCCGTCACTTCCCCCTTCGTTGAGCTTCGGGCTGGGAGTTTGCGGCACAGCTGAAGGGCCTTGTCCCTTGCTCAATCTTGCTCATGAAGGCACGGCACTCTTCCACAGCTCAACCATCGGTTGTCCAAGATTAAGGGCAGAGGCAGCACAATGCAGTGCAAGCTGGCAGGTCACACCAGAGTGTGTTCTCGTGAATCCTACTACGCGCACACAAGTAGTTCCTCAAGCACCTGCTGCTAAGACCTGCTTGAGGATGCAGCTGCGCATCGAAAGCGCCCACAGTTTGAGAACTTTCGTCATGCGTTGCTCTGCAGCTTGACATTGAGGAGCAGGAGCTAGGCTTACGTGCGTAAGCCGTGGTGGTGGCGGGGTTGGTCGGAGGTAGGCCGATGGAGAGCTATACAGCAGGTCTCGAGGGTACAGGTGAATTCATGTCCATGTCGAAGGATTCAAGGCGGGAACAGGCGACTCAGCTTACTTGATTCACTTTGCAGCCTGATGCAAAAGCGAGTGCCACTGAGAAGAACGCTGTAGACGCCTGCTAGATATCAAGCATAGGTTCTGCTGTACCAGAACCGGGCTGTTGCAATCCACCTCTGCTGTTTTGCGCGTTCTGCTAAAAGCTAGACTGCGACGGGAGAGAGTTTTCCTCTGCTGCCGTGCAGCATCGTACAAACATGTACTTGGGATGCCAGGGGTGCCAACACGTACTCATGCTGTACACTTTGAAGCGTCTTCTTCCTGTCTTGTCCTGGAGTTGCACTTTTGGCCGCCAGTCCTTCCAAGGCTCAGAGCTCAAGCACCTGTACACCGCCATTACGCGCACGAAGCATGTGCCTGCTGGACGCATGTGTTCGGGGTGCGTGGATGTGGCAGTCGCACGTGGAGTTGATGTGTTCGATGATTGGACTGTCGTGGAAGCGTGTGCTGATGAGTGCTAGTTCACGCGGAGTTAGGCTGGCACGTGGCTATCAGTGCACAGGCAGAAACAACGCTTCTAGACGCAACTTCATCGACCAGCGACTACTTGTAGTCGACTTCATTGCGCAGACTCAGAATTCAATGCAGATACTGCCTATTTGGTGGAAGCCGAAGATGAAGCCACAGACGCGCTTAGGCTCCTGTTCTTCGAGGAGGACAGCGCCAAGGCTTCGCACGTCTTCAAGATGTGGGAAGAGCTTGGCCTGGTCAGCTCTTCGGGCCTCATGGACGAGGCGAACGAAAAGGCGCGGGGCCCGGGCAAATGGTCCAAGGCCCCTAAGCACCACGACGAGCCGCGAAGCGTCTAGCAATGAAAGATCATGACGTCTGGCCCACGGTCGTCTCCGCTCCAATGAACATGGGACTTTTCAGACTCCCGGTGATAAGATTGGACGGCATTGTCATGTGCCGAGTTGACAGGGATCTTTTCCTAGGCCAGGGCACAGACGCAACCCCAGTTGATCACTGCAGACATGCGTGTCCTTCTGCTTGCCAGCCTTGCCAGATTGTTGTGTGGCACTGTTACTTAGTGTGTCAGCTGCAATCGCTTGTTCAGGCGGAGCAGCTAAAGATAGAATGCCTGCTGTCCCTTACATGAACCTGCATGACACGACG